TTGGAATAGCTTCGATGGCACCTAACAACAACCTTAACAACAACAGTAAGATCCCTTTCATTGTCCCAGGAATAGTCCCTGAGCTCTCTTGTCCTTACACATTGGCTCATGCTGGTCCCTCTTTCTGAAGAGCTTTGCCCATCATTTACCAATCCCAAACCAAAACCCAAGCCTGTTGCCGTTGAATCGATTCCGACTCATAGCGACCCTATAGGACAGTGTAGAACTGCCCCATAGGGTTTCCAAGGAGTGGCTGGTGGATTCGAACTTCTGACTTTTTGGTTAGCAGCCAAATGCTTAAGCACTGTGCCACCAGTGCCCCTCCCCAACCCCACTTCCTCCCAAATCGGCTATCAAAGTCACCTCATCCGGGAGGTCATCCCTAATATATCCCACCTGTAAGTAATCCTACCCTACTCAGAATCCACATGGCACCTTACCTACACCTGGCTTAAGGGTTTAACACTTCTCTTCCAAGAGCAATCCCTGGGTGGTGAAAATGCAGGGGTGGATTACCCAGTAAGCAAGGTAAGCACAGGCTTACTTGTGCTTACTTACTAACCTGTAGTGAACAATTTCACATTTTTTCACCTCGTCAAAGATTCTGCTTCTAGGTATGGCTGCCGTCTGTCTCTCTCCCAACCCCACGGCAACTTCCTACAGATTCAAAGCTTCTTTCTGAAATTTATAGTCCCTGACAGGGATGGATTACCCAGTGAGTAAGATAAGCACAGCCTTACTTGTGCATACTTACTAATATGTAGTGAACAATTTCACATGTAGTGAAGTTGTTCACACAGATTAGTAAATACGTACAAGTAAGGCTGTGCTTACCTTGCTTATTGGGTAATCTGCCCCGTGCAAATATTTAATGTGCTGGCTACTAACAGAAAGGTTGGCCAGAGGCATCTCAGAAGAAAGACGTAGTCATCTACTTCCAGAAAATCAGTCAGTGAAAACCCTAAGGAGCATAATTCTACTCTGAATGGACTTGACAGCAACTGGCGGTGGTGGTGGATTTTCTAGGATGGTTAATTATCTTGCCTACTAGATTGTATGATCCTTACAGCAGGCACTATGTTTTCTTTTTGACTGGCTTTGTTTCATTTTGTATCTCTTGTTCTTCTGTTAGAACTTTAGCACAGTGATGAATGAGTGAATGATATGGTCCCATTTTCTCTTGGTTCTCATAATTATCAAAGAGAACAATTATTCTTTTCTTCTCCATCTTCTTCACATTCTTTTCTAAATTGAGACTTGATGAAATACAGTAACTTAATAAAATGCCTATGAATTGGGCACTAAAAAAATGCTGCCGTGTCAAAGACGTAGAGAGCTGGCAAAAGGCCATGCCTACAAGAACTTGCCAATTTTTCCTCTGGGCAACATACCAGGCTTTTGTTATCCCTATAGTTACATTTGTGTTTTTGGGGGTGGGGGGGGGTGGGGGTGGGAACGGAGACACTTAATGAAACACTTGACATCTAGGGAGGGCAAACTTAGAAGATACAATATGTCTTGTTGAGGTCACTGTGCCCAACGTTCCCTCTCTGGATAATGTGAATCAAAACCTTGTGCTTACAAAGCACCCTTCTTCCAGGATCTGATCACACTGGTGAGAGTGGCAATGGGCACAGTTTTGATATTATTCTGACTGGAGAAATTAAAGCCAGAGACATCTCACTCCTCAAGGGAGCTTGCAGAACTGGGATTCAGGCCTTTTAGACACAAGCATGGGGTGGGACTTTGGGGACTGGGAGGAAGTTATCTCTCTCCCCACATTACAGATACCAGATGCCTTGTTAGGAGTCCATGGTAACAATAATTGCCTTTCCTTAGAGACCCACTTTAGCCATTGATTGGGGATCTCAGAGCTCTTGTAGTAACTGTTAGTGTCTTCTCCAAATGACATTTGTATGGGAGCCAGGAGCCCATAAAAAGAGGTCGTTCTCCATCACCTGCTATGCTAGTCTGAAACTAAACAAAAAACCAGATGTAGCAGTTCATGGAAATAGAGTAAGAGAAGAGAGAGAAGAGAATCCTTGATAGATAGAATGGGCAAGGTCCTTGAGGATCATAGTATCCAGGGAAGACATTCAGGCAGCTAAGGCATTATTGATCCCTTGTTGATTTGCTATTTTCTTGTGAGGGATATGTAGGAGAAAGGGGAAGGATGCTGATGTCCCAGGAGATTAAGTGACTTGCTCAGCATCAGAACTGATCAGGTATGGAGAACAACAAGAGTCATCTAGGTCTACTGCTGCCCAGCACAGGGCTTTCTTCTCTACATTCTTAGGATGCTTTTCCAATCTAACATTTTAGAGACAAAGGAGCTACAGTGGACAAAGAGAGAAGACTGGCCAGATAAAAGTGAAGTGTAATTCAGGTGAGGAAACTGGTCTAGTTCTCTTAGTTCATGAGCGATTCATGACCACCAGACCTAATTTCTCCTATTTATCATTTCCCCAAATAGGTCAGCCCAATACTGGCCTAGCTGCCAAAGTCTAATGCTTGAAAGATAATCAAATATTTTTTCTACCCTGCTGTACTGCAACTCTGCCAAATGACTTTCTATCCATTAACTCAAAAGACTCAATAAGCCTTCAGATATTAACAGACTGCAGTGCTGGTATTTATGTTTGTTTACTTAATGGTGGGCCTTCCTGGTTAGAGACTGTTGGAACAGACACGTGATGCATGTAAAATCCCGTTACAAGTGGTGCTTCTGCGTGCATTTTGTTCTTAATGTCAGTTCCACCCCTTACTAGCTGTGTAGACATGGGCGTGTTATTTAGACTCTTTCTGTTTCAGTTTCCTCATCTGTAAAATGAGGATAATAAAAGTTCATACTTCATAAGGTGGTTATGGAGGATTAAATGAGTGGAGTTAATATGTAAATCACTTAGAATAGTGTCTGGGTCCTAGTAAGTGCTATTTATGTGTTTTGCAGGAGTCCCTGGGTGGTGCAAGAAGTTAAGCACTCAACTACTAGCAGAAAGGTTGATTGGTGGTTTGAACCCACCCAGAGGCACCTCAGAGGACAGGCCTGATGATCTGCTTCCAAAAGGTCCCAGCCTTAAAAACCCTATGGAGTGCAATTCTACTTTGATACACATGGGATTGTTATGAGTTGGAATTGACTTGACAGCAACTAGCAACAACAACGTTTTTTTTTTTTTTTATTAGTAAGTACAATGCTGCTTCTTATAAATCTATTCTTGATAAACTAAACTTCTCTAATTAAGATAACAGCCTTCTGTTAAGGACATTGTTAGGTTGAGAATAGGTTGAGAATGGTTTATGACTTTCATGAATATTCATTGATTTATGTGAGTTCTTAGATGTCACTTAAAATTTTCTGTTTTTAAACCTTCTCATAAAAATTGGTTAAGAGCGTGGTTGCTAACCAATAGGTCGGCAGTTCAAATCTGCCAGCCACTCTTTGGAAACACTATGGGGCAGTTCTACTCTGTCCTATAGGGTCACTATGATTTGGAGTCAACTCGACGGCAGCGGATTCATAAAAAGTAAACACCTGAACATTTGTATAGTTTCTTTCTCTTTGCAAGCTGCTTCATATCTCATTTGATAACATTATTTATTCCACAAAAACATACTGAGCCTTTAGTATGTGCTGAGTTCACAGTCTCTGATACAGTGAGGTATTCCACAGGGACATACCCTGGTGGGGGAGGCGGGCTCAGGAGAGACTTCTTGTAGGAAGTGCTTTCTGAGTTGAGGCTTGAAGGTGGCATAGGAGTTAGGCAGGACCCCAAGTAAGGGAAAGATAATGTGTTCTAGGCAGAAGGGGTGGCCTGTGGAAAGCACAGAGATGTGAAAGAATATGGGACAATTAGAGAAGCTTCAGATAATTCAGTGTGGTTGGAGAGAAGGGTGGAGTCCCCGGGTGGCAAAAAGTAATGGAAAGGTTGGTGGTTCAAGTCAACCCAGAAGTGCCTTGGAAGAAAAGCCTGGAGATCTACTTGCAAAAAAGCAACCATTGAAACCCTGCTGAGCACAGTTCTGCTCTGACACACATGGAGTCGCCATGCCATGAATTGGAATTGACTTCATGGCAACTGGTTTGGCTTTTTGATTTGGAGAGAAATGTGGGAGGGTGAGTGTGACTGTGGGTGTGAGGATTGAGAAGTTAGAAAGGGGCATGAGGAATGAAGCAGAGGAGATCCCAGGGCTGGGGAGGGCATTCCCTGACATACTAAGGAATCTAAACAGTATCATCTTGTAGATGGGGTGCCATGGCGTGATTTTTAGCAGGGATGTGAGACATGATCAAATTAGAGTCTTAGGAATATCACTGTAGTCACAGTGAAGAGCAAGAATTGGCAAAAATTAAGTCTGAAGGAAGAGAGAGTGATTAGTTTCATGGCTGTTGTTTTAATCCAGGCAAGAGATGAAGAGAGTTTGAAGTAAAGGAGGAGCTATGGTCTTGGAAAAGTCCTTAAGTGGCATAAGTGGTTTGCAATCAGCTGTTAACCTAAAGGTTGGTGGTTCAGACCCACCCAGTGGCTCCGCAGAAGAAAGTCTTGGTGAATGGCTTCTGTAAAGATTACAGCCAAGAAAACCCTATGGAGCAGTTCTACTCTGTAACTTGCAGAATTACCATGAGTCAGAATCAACTTGAGCCAATCAATCAACCCCTATTGAAGCAATATGGAAATTTTGGCTCAGAATGGTTATCTGACTTCCAGGGTCTGGTTAGCAATAAAGGTGGGAGAATATGAGCTTGTATTCTGAAAATGTTTACCTGCATCAGTTTTCTTGACATGTGCTATGATGATTCTATATCACGGCTTTCCATGTCCTGCCTTCTATGAATTCCCTTGAAGGTAGGAGCTATAGCCTGAGAAGACTCACATAGTATCTGGCATATTTTGTCCATAGTACATGTTAAATAAATATGAACTAGAAATACAGTTAATTTCTGTTTATATCTTCCTAACTTGCTTTTCATTCTAGCCTTCTCATGTACCACCGGCTTAATGGCAGAGAAGAATCTCACCTTAGTGACTGAATTCCTCCTTATTGCGTTCACAGAGTGGCCTGAATGGGGACTCCCTCTCTTCCTCCTATTTCTATTTATCTATGTCATCACCTTGTTGGGGAACTTGGGGATGATTACTCTGATCCACATGGATCGCCGGCTTCACACCCCAATGTACTTCCTTCTGAGTCACCTCTCCTTCATGGACATCTGCTACTCATCTGTCACTGTTCCTCAGATGTTGGCCATGTTGTTGGAGCATGGGGCAGTTTTATCCTACACACGATGTGCTGCTCAGTTCTTTCTGTTCACCTTCTTTGGTTCCATTGAGTGCTACCTCCTGGCCCTCATGGCCTACGACCGCTATGTGGCTGTGTGCCAACCCTTACTTTATGTCACCATCATGACACAGAAGGCCCGTTCGGGTTTTGTGGCTGGGGCTTACATTGCTGGTCTCTTCAGTGCTTTGGTGCGGACAGTCTCAGCTTTCACTCTCTCTTTCTGTGGGACCAATGAGATTGACTTCATTTTCTGTGACTTTCTGCCTGTCTTAAAGCTGACCTGTGGGGACAGCTATACCCAGGAGGTGGTAATTATTGTGTTTGCCATTTTTGTCATTCCTGCCTGCATGGTGGTGATCTTAGTGTCTTACCTGATCATCATTGTGGCCATTATGAGGATCCCCTCAGCTGACGGTAGGGCCAAGACCTTCTTTACATGTGCCTCTCACCTCACCGCTGTGTCACTCTTCTTTGGCATTGCCATCTTCATGTATATGAGAGATAACTCTAGCCAGTCCCCAGAGGAGGACCGGGTGGTGTCTGTGTTCTACACAACAGTGATCCCCATGTTGAACCCACTCATCTACAGCCTGAGGAACAAAGAGGTAAAGGAGGCCCTGAGGAAAATTCTCAGTAGAGTCAAATTATCCTAACCATCTCTATCTTTGGAAAAATTTGAGGATCACCTCCTTTGTGATGCCAGCATTCTGAACACTCATTATTCATAGCATACTCAATGTTGAAATGAATATGCCACGGTATAAGGTATAAAAGAGAATCAGACCTTTAGCTCCAGAGAGAGGAAGGAAGAAAAGGAAGAGGCAGCCAAGAAGAGATTGGAGTGAGAGCTAAGACTCCCAGGACAAGAGACAAAAGGATCCAAAATTAAATCCTGTGCAATCCAGATGTTGCACAGCACATCAGCCTCTGACTATAAAACAAGATTATATTTTTTGCAATTTTTTAATGAAAGATTTCCATCATATAGAAAGACTGAATATAATGTTTAGTGAACCCCCTATACCCCATACTTAGTGTCAGCAATTGCTAATATTTCGTTGTATTTGCTTTATCACATACGTATAATTATCCATCTATCCATTCTCCAATTCATCCTTTAAGCCACTTAATTTTTTGATGCATTTAAAAGTGAGTTGCAGACATCAGCATGAGTACCTTTCACTCTCACACACACCAGAATGTATATCATCAATTAGAATTCAATATTTAGATTACATTTATTTTAATGATCAAATTATAGTATTTGAGACTTCATTGGCCTGATTAATAGTGGACCTCATTCAAGGTATTCTTCAGACCCTTCTAGTAGCTCCCTACTAGAATCTCTAAATGAAACTCTAATAAACCTCCATAACAACACATCTGTCAATTGCTATAACCACTGGAAATATGCTCTGTTCTTAGTTCTTCCCCATTTGCTTCAGCTCCAACTTGTCACATTGCTTGCCTGATAACCCACTTGGTGAAGTAATACCATTTCCTCTGCCCATAATGGTATCTCCAATGTCTGTATCATAGATAACTCTCTATGTTCTTCAAGCGTTTGTCCTCAGGGATCCAGAGCACTGCTGCTTTCCACACATGGGTGGGTAAGAGGGTGTCCTTGCCTGCACTTGGTCCCTGTGTTCTGCAATGGCC